TATAAGGCCTGGTACTGTGGGCCTCAGCGGTTGGGAACCTCCAACTACTTTTTCATCAAAAAGTAATTCATTACCTCGACGTCGAGCTGTTCCAGATTCTTTGCAGCGAACGGTGAAGTGGCGAAATGACGTTACCGGTGGATTGAACTGTAAGAGTTCCGCTCAGATTGCTCGCTTTTTTCTTTCTTTTTAAAATCGACATTTTTTTGAATTAAAAAAATTGCATGGCATTACCATATTTATTTTTTCCAAGAATTAAGTGAAGAAAAAAATGAAGAATGAATTAAGTGAAGAAATTCATGAAAAAAGCAAGGAAAAGACTACTAAACTATGTTTTTTTCCACTTTAGATACCCCAGGGGCTGAGTCTGATGGAGCAATATCCGCCCCTGAAAACTTGTTGTCGCCAACGTTAACCAGGCCTTATTTTTTACGCAGAGGTAGTGGTGGTTTTATTTTTTGATAATTTAAATATATCTGGTCCTTACATGAAGTGATCTTGAGATCTGCTCCAAAGAATTGTTGACATTTTTGAAAAGCACATTCTCTGATTAAGATGATTGCTTTGAAACAGCAAACTGAATTTGGAAGACTAAAATATGAGTTATTGAATGGCTTTTTTAAATGTTTTGTAGGTCCTCGTTCGGGTACTTCTGGTCAGGGGCGAACTATTGATGACATCTTTTCAGCTCAAGAATATCGCCATTGGGCAGATTTTATACTGCCACCACAAGAAAGGCAATCCAGGTGGTCACATGCATATGGTGAACGACAAGGCGCCTCTGTCAGAAGCTCATCCTTACCATCAAGAACGATTTTGTCAAATGTGCGTAGTTAGTGAAATAAATCATCTTTATTGACCGTAAATTTTTAAATTAGAGTTCCATTTTCTTTGAGTTTGTGTAGGAATTTTTGATTATCTATAATTTACTTTCTGTTCAGGTGGGCAGGTTTTCTGTAGGACATGAAAAAGGTGACCTTCTTGACCAGCTACATGTATCTCCGCTAATGAACCGTCGAGTGCCTTTACGACCAGCCGGACCAGGCTTTGATGTAGACACGTTAAATGTTAAATCTTTAACCGGAATGCTTATAGTTCAGGTTTGTTAATGAAACAAATAATGTCTGGTAAAAAACTTCAGCGTACGATCTGCTGTGCTTCCAGGTAATCGAAGGACGTGGACTGAAATTGCCGTTAAGGCAAAAAGCTTTCACCGAAGAAATGTATTGCGTTCTGGAAGTGAATGAAGTACATCGAGCTCGAACTGGTGTTTCTACAGCAGATCAGCGATATCAGTGGAAGGAAACTTTTCAAATCGACGTTCAGCATGCAACTCACATCCATTTTTTTGTGTATTCTTGGCATCCTCAGTACAGGTAATAAACATTTGTCGTTGCTTTTTATGGTGTTCAAAGCTCTGTCTTTTTAGAGATTTAAAAGTTTGGAATATTTAGTAATAAAAAAGATAAAACT